GGTTGCGGCCACCCCCTGCCCACGGCTGCAGCCAGCTCCCTCAGCCGAGGTCCGTGGGATGCAAGGTGACACGAGGAGGAGGTACTCGGCCCAGCGAGGCGGCTGGCAGCTCATACCAGGGGAGCAGCACCGTGCTAACCTTCTACCTGGTGTACGCACCAAAACCCCGTCATCAGTCACGTTGCAGAGCACTCGTTAAACCTGCCATCGCCCAGCGCCGCGGCTGGCTCCTCACGGCTTTGGCAAGTCCCCGATGCCAACCGTGTGAAGGGCCTTGTTCTGAAGCCTGCGCCCCAGGAGGGCGGCCAGAGATGGCAGATAAGGCTTGTTTACGTGGCAACAATTCCCCAGGTCTAACCAGGAGCATTTCCATATCATGCTCAGCCACTGAAAATTCCTGCATTACCCACTTGGCCATGAAGGGTTGCAAAACCCAAGCTCACCCTTTCCCTGCCAGTGAGCAGAGATTCCCAACAGCCTTACCTGGGGAGCATCCCAGCCGGTGCTGCCCACGCTGGGAACGTGGCGGTGCCCCGGACCCCTTTGTAAGAGCAAGTCCTCAATGTAGGGACACAAAGAACTGCGTACAGGGTTTGCAGCAATCATCTCTTTGGACGTTGGGTTTCAGAGGTGGGATGATCTGGCTACCACAGCACCGCTCCCCAAGGCAACCCTACTAGAGCTGCAGGGTGCTGAGCACCAGATGGGCCACCTCCTGCCGGCACATCCTCCTCCAGCAGTTTTCCTAACCCATCCCCAGGGATTAACCACAGCTTTGCAAATGCTGCCATGGCCACGTCATGACCACCACATGCCTTGCTGCATCACTGTTCTGTCATCAAGTAGCCAAGGTTTAACACAACGAGATTTCCAGCATGGCCAAGTGAAGCTGCAAGCGATGCTGTAACCACGCGCACAGGCAGCTCCAGCTCTGGTCACCAAGAGCTGCAGCAAAACTGCCTCCATGTCCACGGGGAAGGAAGCAACCAGGCCCAAGCCCTGCTGCTGGATGGTGGCAAGGGACAACCCTAGCCCCACATCAGTAGCCCTACAAGCAGTGGCCCCGCAGCAAAACCCACTGCGTGCCCTCATTGTCCTTCAAGGGGTCTCCTAAGTGAGCATCCTCTGGCAAGGTAAATGGGGTTGGAAGCAGAGTGTTGCCTCACCATTGTCCTCCAGCAGAAAGAGACACGAACTGAAACAAATGCATTTAATTTGCTTTTATTTAATTAAAAAAAAAAGTCAAAGTCATTGCAATTCCATTTAAATACAGAGATTTACAAACAGGTCCAAAACAGGACTAAAATATTCTCTGAAATGCTGTACTTTTAAATATTGTGCTTTCATAGATACATAAGAAAATTAGCATATAAAAATACTTTACAAGGAATACACTCTAATATATGGATAAAAATACACATTTAAGTAATGCATTTCAGCTTCATATCATTCAAAATGCATAGGAAGGGATACAAGGACCAAGTTTTTCTTCTTTTTTTTTTAAAGCCTTTAATAAAAGTCTTCATTAAAAACCTATGAGAAGCCCCAGTGAGCTTCCACTGCTCACAATATTGCATATAAAAACACTTTCGGCTGCACTGTCAATGCTCCACAGTATCAGTTATGGCACATTATCTAGTTGTGGCAGCAATGGTATGGGATATTGCATACTCAAAGAGAAAATGGCTACAACAACAAATAGCTGGATGGGGCCGGACAAGTGTCTGGAAGAAACACCCTGATACATGGCACTATCACGGAGGGATGGAGTTACAGAGTGGCTCGGGGATGGATGGTGGGGGGACAAGTCCTGGCTTAGCAAAGTGACAAACGTGTTACATACACCCATCCAACACCCTACACGCACCACTGGCACGCAGCCAACGATGGAGGAACCAAAAGGGTCACCAGGGAATGGGGGCGGTGGGCGCCGGGGCTGAGGGTCCCCGGCCGAGCGAGCTCCTCATGCCCGCCGTGCCTAAACCTTCCCGGGGGAAGTGACGCCAGGCTCCTGCCACCACCGGGACATGGACATCATCATAAAGTGCTAATACATTAAACATGGCAGGCAGATGAGGAAACCAATGCAAACCTCACGGCCCCCTTTCCCCGCGGGGCTGGGGGCTCTGGCAAGGGAGGGGAGCGGCCATGGGGCGTCATGCTTGCAAAGCCACCAAGGGGCCAGCGACAGGCAAAGGCGGGCGGGCTGAGGGCGAACAGCACGGGCACACACACACCCCGCCCAGCCCACACAGGACACAGGACACACAATCTCCATCCAAGGATGGGCTTCTTGTGCCACTGCCTGATGGGAGACGGCAAGGTGCGATTAGTTCAAAACGTCCGGGACAGCCCTGGGAAGATGGCTGTTCTGCTATTCACTTGGGGGCACAGGCCAGGTTTGCAAGCGAGAGATCTCCATAAAGCCCAGACAAACACAATGGCTGGGGATTTGGGCAGGTATTCAAGGTCTTTAGCCTTGAGTACGGCCTTCTGCTCTGTAATAACTACTCCAGTATGGGCAACCACATTGCTCACAGGAATCGATGCCCAGACGAGGTACCTCCTCCCACCGCAGGGCCAGCCAGCCCCGGCAGGGAGCATGGACGGGGCTGGCAAGAGGCAGCTGCAAATACTGATTTTTGAACAAGACTTGCATCTAGCCACTCTCAAGCACATTTTGAAATGTTTTTTAAACAGGACTCTCCACAGCTCTGCACTGGGGAGTGCCAGGGACTGCGGAAATCGATTTATCAGGAGCGTTTAAAGGATGGAGCTGGGCACAACAGAAAAGAAAAGGCGTTTCAGTCTTGCTGTATGTGTTTAACTGAGCAAACAAGAAACATAATTAGCACCATGTGTGTTTATAGGGTGGCCAAGGCTTTCAGGGTGAGGAGGATGCTGGAGGCAGG